TTATGCAGGACCTGTAAACATATTTTCTAGAAAAAGTGGCAGGTAGACACATGTGTGTCATGGGGAGGGGGATGATGGGGAGGGCTGCAGGGGAAGGAAAGACAGGCTTGAAATCTTTTACTACTCGGGAAACTATCAATTAGCTCTGAGAGAGGTTAGGGAGAGGAATGATGGGTCTCTTCAAGTCAGGAGAAAGGAGAATGCACGTCTAAATTGCTGCTTACATTTTTATGTGCATGGCAGTGTCATCTTAATTGGGTCTTCCTGTTATATTTCTGCTCTGATTTTGAGATCTGACATCACGTTCGCATATTTAACATCTATCCTGGATGTGATAAATGTTGGGAAGAGAAAGGGTATGCGGGAGGAACATTGGATCTGGACTCTGAAAATTTGGGGTTTTGTCTTGGTGGAGACACCAGGCGTGCAAACTCAGGCAAACTCTGGGACCTCACTTTTCACACCTAGGAAGTGGTTTATGATCTCCACCTGGAATATTCACAGGAATACAGGAATATTGTAGGAATCGAGTGCTTTTTTGGATGTGACAAAAACGTGTACAGAAATCATGTACATATACTTGACCCTAGAGCAACATAGATTTGAACTGCATAGGTCCACTTACACGCAGCTATTTTCTTGATAAATACGGTACAGTAAATGTATTGTCTCTTTCTTATGATTTTCTTAATGACAATTTCTTTTCTCTGGCTCCTTTTATTGTAAGGCTACAACATATAATATATAGAACACACAAAATACGTGTTAATCGACTGTATATGTTAGCAGTTAGGCTTCCTGTCAGTAGGCTATGAGTGATGTTTTGCTGAAATCAAATGTCATACATGGATTTTAAATTGTGCAGGGGAGGACGGTTGATGTATGCAAGGTCAAGGGTCAACTGTAAATGGAAGGCAGCATTTTTACTTATTCACATCCACTCAGCTGTACATTCTGAAACAGCACTTCTCCAAATGGGACTGTGGAAACCCTCGAGGGTCTCAGGAAACCCAAGTAGGGAACTGTGAGATCAGAAAAAAATTTATGATAATACAGTGGAGTTTTCTAGAGTTGTGTGGTGACATTGCCTGGGAAGACTCAGGGGAACGTGTCCTTGGGTATTCTTGTGTTTTCTAAAATGTTCAAAAGCAGACGATGTACAGCAAAATGATGCATATCTTCAGAAAATAACTCAGTGTATTTTCAGTGTTCCCACTAGGCTTGAACCACATAACCTCAGCTCTACCTGCTAAGTCTCTACAACCTTGTTGTTGTTCAATACAACAGTGTCTTGTAAACCCAGAGTTTTCCTGGAACCGATGAGGATACACAGCAAGAAGTACCCTGTGGTCTTGCTTGGGACTGAGGTCTTAATTCTTTTCAAAAAAAATTATATTTAAAATTTCCCCCCAAAGTTACGATTTTGCAATTCAATATCTTATTCTAAAATATCAGAATATTATTTAGGATGTAGTTTTTGTATATTAAAGTTGAATGTTTATGCTCCAAAATGGATATTGGAGACTTGCTGTTTCCTCCTAAAGCTCTCAGATCTGCCTAAAAAATGCTGGGAAAAACTTAAAACTGGTTTACAAGAAAGTTCTCTATCTCATGAAAGGGAAAAATGTGTTTAAAAAAATCTAACTTGAACTTTAAGTTAGAAATAAAAACATGACAAAATACAGTTGACTCTTGAACTATATGGGAGTTGGGGTGCCTACCCTCCCACACAGTCGAAGATGCATGAATAACTTTTGACTCCCCCAAAACTTAACCACTAAGAGCCTCCTGTTGGAGCCTTACTGATAATGTAAACAGTTGATGAGTGCATATTTTGCATCTTCTGTGTATTATATACTGTATTCCTGTAAGCTAGAAATATAGAAAATGTTATTTTTTAAAGATTATATTTATTTATCTGACAGAGAGAGTGAAAGAGCACAAGCAGGGGGAGCAGCAGAGGGAGAGGAAGAAGCAGGCTTCCCACAGAGCAGGGAGCCCGATGCGGGGCTCAATCCCAGGACCCTGAGATCATGCCCTGAGCTGAAGGTAGATGCTTAACTGACTGAGCCACCCAGGCGGCCCTAGAAAATGTTATTTTATTTTATTCTATTTATTTTTTTAAAGGATTTTATTTATTTATTTGCGAGAGACAGAGAGAGAGCATGAGCAGAGAGAGGGAGAAGCATACTCCCTGCTGAGTGGGGAGCCCGAAGCGGGGCTGGATCCCAGGACGCTGAGATCATGACCTGAGCTGAACGGAAACGCTTAGCCAACTGAGCCACCCAGGCGCCCCAGAAAATGTTATTAAAAAAAAAAAACCAAGGAAGAGAAAATACATTTACAGTTCTGGACTGTATTTATTGAAAAAAAATCTGCACATAAGTGGATCAGCACAGTTCAAACCTGTGTTGTTCAAGGTTAGCTGGTGTATCTCTCCGTTGGCTTCCTAAGTGTTAATTTGTTGCCTATTCACTAGAACATTTCGAATAATAATATGGTGTCAGGTAGAGTTTGTCATCAGTGTCTTGGGGTTCAAAGAAGCAACCGAACCTTTTTTAACGTCGATGTCACATGCTTATTAAAAGTCAGAACTTAATTGGTAGTGTTTTTCAGATTTGACGAAAGAAAGACATGGATGCATCTTAAGGACGAGTCAGTGCGTTGCATTTGCTGAACAGGTGGGCCCCACAGGTGAAAGGCTGTTAACACTTAGCACACTTGATAGTGCCGGATGTCTGGTGGGGAAAAAAGCTGGTAAAATAAATGACAGAACAAACGCTTCTGATTCACATTTCAGTTGTGCCTCGAAACTTGAGTTCCCTCCCCCCATAGAGCATTTTTCTTGAAAAATATTCTTAGTAATTTCCTGGCCTGGGGCTCGCGTACACTGAAATTAGTATTCTCAAAACCTATAATTATGGGGAACTTGTTTTTTCTCATCCAGGCGAAACTTGTCATTTGCCAGAATCAAATACCTGTCACATTTTTAACCAAGGTTAATTGTGAATTATGGATTGTTTGCAAGAGTACAGCCCCAAACTAACTACTGGGACTGTTTCCAAAGTTGAAGTGAATTTATGACACAGCTGATATTGACCAATTATTTATAAAGTCTATTAAATTTGTCAGGACTGCTGATGAGAAAAGATTTATTAGAACAACCAATATAAAATGTAATGAAATAGATTAAGTTCCCTTATGAAATATTAAGATCCATTCAGTCTGGTTTTTGTAACTCTGTATTTGTAATCTCCCCTTTGTGGATGCTATGAATTCACGTTGCTGATGGTGCTTCAAGTCCTTATGACCCTAAGTGCCTGAACTGCTAAATAAAAAGCTTCTGGGAATGAAGAATATCAAATTCTGGATAGTGGTTCTCTCACAGCGAAAGATCACAGTTGCAGAAGAGAGATCAATAGACTTCAACTCTACTTTATGTCTCTATGTATCTATATATCTACATCTACATCTCTCCTTGCTTTCTCTCTCCCCTCACCCCCGTTTATCCTTCTCTCTCGGCTAGGTTTCTATTTTATTCTTATTCTTTTAACAAGATTATAGAGAGAGAGAGGTAGAGAGAGGCCAACCTGGGGAGTCTGAGTGTTTCTATTATATCATTACTCTCCTAATAGGATTATATAAGGAGCTCTTTTTTTTTTTTTTTTAAGATTGTATTTATTCATTTGACACAGAGAGCGAGAAAGCAAGTGAGGTTATTCAAGTTGGGGGTGTGGGAGAGAGAGAAGTAGGCTCCCCACTGAGCAGGGAGCCCGATGTGGGCCTTGACCCCAGGACCCTGGGATCATGACCCGAGCCAAAGGCAGAAGCCCAACTGACTGAGCCACCCAGGCACCCCGTAGGGAGCTCTTTCTGCTTCAACCAAACAATGGGTACTATGGACCCCCACTTTCCACAGTAAGGTAGGCAACCACTTGTAAAGGTTATTAATAAAAACTAAGAATGTATGAAAGTTTGAAGGTTAAGAGTTCAATTGTTTAGACATTAGGGAGATAATTTTTTAGATGGTTATTTGCGTATTTTAATTTCAATCTCCCCCTAACCTGGGGTAGTAAGGAGCACTCTGTTCTCATAAATAGCCAAATGATGGGTACAATTTATCTTAGGTTGCCATCCCCTAGAAGCAGACCCTGAAATGAGGGTCCAGGTGAAAATAGTTTTTTTTTGGAAGTGTTATCACAAAATACTGGAAGGGGAGTAGAGAGGGAGCCTGGGGAGGGAAGAAGCTTATAAGGGATGGGTTATGAAGGCAGTCAGCACCGTGGGCCAATCGAAGCTTAGCCACATTGTAGAATGGATTTATTTTATAAGTATGGGGACTTTAGGGTCTCAAATGGTGGTGCCATGATTTCTGAGCACCCCCTCAGGAGCTGAGATCTATTCCTCCAAACTATGGCTCAGAAGAACTCAGGATATGTATAAATGACTTAACACATTGTAATTATTCAAAAATTATTTCTCATGACAATTATTTCAGATGACAATATGAGTAAAACTATGCCTTATCCCATAATTTAAAAAATTATGAAACCTAAGGATCATCTGAGTCCTTCTCAAATCCATATTGGAAATGCTTTTGGAATTTTTTTAAAGATTTCATTTATTTATTTGAGAGAGAGAGAGAGCATGAGCATAGGGTGAGAGGGCGAAGCAGTCTCCCTGCTGAGCTGGGAGCCCAACATGGGACTCGATCCCAAGACCCCGAGATCATGACTTGAGCCGAAGGCAGACACTTCACCGACTGAGCCACCCAGGTGCCCCAATGCTTTTGGAATTTACACATTAAACCACATGGACAGAAGGAGGAAAAGATGTGCTTTGTGACCTCATTCTTAGGAGCCATGATCCCATGTCTATGCTCCTAACCTAAAAGTACTCCCCCTCAAAAAGCTGTATTATAAACAAAATCTGCATTCTGTAGATAATGCTACCCTTCTGCATACTGCATAGCTCTTTAAACATTTTTGATTATTTTTTTTTACTATTTCAAACTACTTTTAATGTTTTACAAAATGGTCACACAGCAAATACGAAAAGCTTTAACATAGTCTTATAACTTCTGCTGCAATAAATGCAACATTAACAAACATACAAATTTCTTCTGTACCAATCTTAAAAGTAGAATTACTGAATTACTAATTTTTACAATGTTATTCATACTTATTTTTATTCATATGTATTTAATGAGATCATTGCCAATACATACATTATTTTCCTTAACTTTATTTTTACATTAAGCCCGGTATCTGTCATGCAGCCATCAAAAACCTTCCAGAAAATTACACAGGTTTGTAGTCCAATTTAGACTCTAGCTTCTTAGAATCAGCCACTTTTCTGACTGCTTTCATGAAGTCTTCCTGTACTACAAAATCATGATCAGCACGAATTGCAAACATACCTGCTTCAGTACAAACATTTCTCAGGTCTGCTCCATTAAAGCCATCTGAAAGCTTCACAATTGCTTCATAATCTATTTCACCATGCTTTGTAATCGGACCTGCATGGATTTTCAATATATCTAATCTTGCTTGTTCGTTTGGTAAATCAATATGTATTTTTCTATCTAATCTTCCTGGATGAAGCAAAGCAGGATCCAGTGTATCTGGTCTGTTTGTAGCCATGATCATTTTAACTCTATGTAGAGTATCAAATCCATCCATTTGATTCAGTAACTCCATCAAAGTTCTCTGTATCTCTCTATCAGCTGAAGTACCCTTAGAAAACCGACGACCACCAATAGCATCTATTTCATCCATAAAAATAATGCATGGTTGATGATCCCTGGCATAATTAAACATTTCTCTGATCAAACGAGCACTTTCACCAATGTACTTGTCTACAATAGAACTAGATACAACCTTTAAGAAATTGCAGTCCAGCTGGCTAGCAACAGCTCGTGCCAAGAGTGTTTTTCCTGTGCCTGGTGGTCCATATAACAAACAGCCTTTTGGAGGTATTATTCCTACACGCTGGAATAATTCTGGGTTTGTAAGAGGTAATTCTATCACCTCTCTTAATTCCCGAATCTGTTCTGATAGTCCCCCAATCTCAGAATAAGAAACATTCCCAGGGTCCTCATGAGACATGTTGTAGACCAATGGATCCACCTCTCTTGGCAAATATCTCATGATAGTTAGTGTAGTCATATCCAAAGCAACTCTTGTTCCTGGCTTCAGCTTACTTTTATCAAGCTGTCGACGACAACCCACAACATATCTTGGTCATTTGTAGCTTTAACAATGAATTTTTCTTCAGTTAGTTGCTTAAGTACTTCACCTACAATCTGTCCAACACTCTGTAGGGCCTTCAGATCATTTTCAGACTTTTCATACTGCTTGGTAAGTTCTTTTAATTGTTCCCTTAACTCCTTGAGACGGCCGTCGATCTCCTTGTGCTCCAGCAGTTTCTTGCGGTAGTCCTGAAGCGCCTTATCTCTAGGGTCCGCCATGATGAGAAACTAAACATTTTTGATTATTAATGTAGAATCTCATTTGCTTTCTAAGTTATCCATAGTTATTTATCTTATTTGAGCAAAATATGCTTGGAATTCAGAAACAATTTTGAAGATAATATAGCATCTTTTAAATGGGGGTGGGATTACTATTTATGAAAGCATCTGTATCTAGGAAATTGAATTGCCTATCTGCCAACCACCTGTGACCCTATTTTCAAAAGTATGAACAAATGCAGTAAGTTTGATTAGCTAAATTCACATGGCAGTTGTCAGATAAGTAATTCTGTTAGGCTACTCGTTGCTTAAAAGAAGAAGGAAATCAGAAGTGTTTGGAATCTTTAGAGCCCTGTTGGCAAGTTTAATATCCCCCTTTGTTACCCCTACACAATTTGCACATAAGAATAAATGGTAGCTTATATTTATAAAATGACCTTCGGAATGATCAATTGGCATTATTCACGTAAACGGAACTATATCCTTCACTTCCTACAAATGTATACCCTACGAAGTTTCAGCTCTGGTATCTGGCAGTTTCCGCCATGTAAGAACCACCCTTTAACATGTAGGGATGTAATACAGCAGTTAAAAGACAGTCCAACTCTTGGATCTCTATTTGTCATTTGTTAAAAAAAAAAATAAATCCCCTTTTAAAATGTTTCACATTTAGTTGTCTACATGGACAAATAATCCCCAATCCCCAATCGTGTTTCCATAGTGTTTTGGACGGAAGGCTGAAATACCACGAGAGTCACCTCACTGTTTGCTCTTCTTGTGTCCCTCCCAGACATGTACCACAGGTCCCTCGCAGACCTGCGCGTGCTATGGGAATTCCTTGCTTCTCTTTACGCCTGCGGAGTACTGTGGATGGATGGGATTTTTCCTGAGAACAGCCTCATTTGTCAAGCCGGCTCTTGAGATCAGTGTGCAAACCGTGCTCTGCTCAAGGGCATCCCAGCAAGAAAGACCTCACACCTCACAGGTAAGTAGGAAGCATATTAATAAAAACAACATTAATACCTGATGCATGACTTCCTTTTGAACATAAAAGTGATACATATCTATTAAAGATAATTTGGGAAATAACCTGACGATACAAAGAAGAAAAGAACAATCTGACTTAATCACTACACCAAGATAAAAACCACTCTTGCCATTTTAATATACTTTCTGCTAGACACCACAGATACATTTATTTTTTTAATTTTTTAAAAGATATATTTATTCATTTATTTGAGAGAGAGAGAGAGAGAGAGCAGGGGGAAGGAGCAGAGGGGGAGGGAGAAGCAGACTCCACGCTGAGCAGGGAGCCCGACACAGGGTCTCAATCCCACGACCCTGAGATCACGACCTGAGCCGAAATCAAGAGTTGAACGCTTAACCGACTGAGCCACCCAGGTGCCTCTAGGCATTTTCATAGGTTTTCAGCACCCTTAGGGTGGAGACCGTCTTGTTTATTGTTGTGTTTTCTGCATGTAATACAATGTTCGGCAGAGTGTAGGGTGGGCCAATCGGGGTGAACCAGGTTGTGTGCAAAACAAACGAACAAACCTCCCAGGGGCTTAGAATGACTTGTGCGTTTATCAGGTTAACTAACGTGGATCAATGGGTAAGAGAGTCCGTCACTGTGGTCACTCAGGGACTCAGGAGGATGAATCTCAATCTAAAGACAAGACTTCATAATCACGGATGCAGGGGAGAGAGCTGCAGTCGAGACACATCCAAGCTTTCGCATTCACTTTCCATCCACTCAGATAATTCACACGGCCTCACCTAAGTACGACGGGGTCAATGCCAAAACCTGCTGTGTTCTCAGAAGGAGAGGGAGATGGATATCTGTGAACAGCATCAAGTTCCACTTAGGTATTCAACAAATCCTTGCCGGAGGAGGAAATGGAGTAGATATTGAGTGCTGGTTTTGAATTTGACACATGTATTTAAAAACATTTATTAATTACCTTCTCTGAGCGAGCCAGATAATACAGTAGGCACCAGAGAGTGGGCGTCAGACAACACAGGGAATCATTCAAACCGGGGAAAGTGCTATTAGACTCTCCGCTTAAAAACAGAACTCCATCACCCACCACTTTGTATTGAACCTTGCAACTTTCAAGTCCAGGAGATGGCCTCATTTTGGAAGTGTGGAATCAATACGCAGAGCAATAATTTTCATCTCTTTTTTTCTTAACAGGACACAACTGTGGGTCTTTCCCGTTCATCGCCGACAATGAGCATCTACATTAATAGCACCTTTCAGGATAGTGGTTTTGTGCACATCACAGTTTGATGAAAAACTGTTGACACTGGCATTTTTTTAAAAGCCCAGGACCCACTTCATACTCACTAACTCATAAAGCCCACGGGCAGGCATTCATGTGTCGAAATGCTCTCCTATAGAATGTAAGTATCACAGAGAAAAAACACATGTTTACCTAATACTGCATCCTCTGTTCATGACACAGAGAAGGTGCAGAATAAATATTTGTGGTAGATTAATATGCACTGCTGGCTAAGAACCTATGATAAATGAGGAGTCCTACAAGGATGTAAGCAAACGGCACATCATAAGGAATCCCGCTGAGCTGTGGGGATGGATACAGACAAGGATTTTCTCTGGATTCCTTCCTCCAACCCCCACATGGATGGAGAAGGGCAGGCGGTGATTAGATGAGTCCTTAAGAAATGTGGGATGTCCCCCTCACTACAAGAACCTGTAAAATGCCTGGGTGGATGGGGTGAGAAGCCTGCAGAGATGGTGTCCCAGCACCCACATCCCAGGTTTGCCGTGGGTGCAGGAGCAGAGGGGCTGGCAGAAACTTGACATACCCTCTCACTGGCTCCCTGCATTCCTGTCCACATTCCAGTGGCCAAAGTCAGTCCATGGTGAAGCCCGACATCACTGGGCAGAAAGCAGTTTGTCCCCTGTGACTGGGGGTGGGGTGGGGAGGGTCAGGTGCTGGAGACCTTCCATAGGAATGGTATCATCATCATTACAAAACACCATCTGGGGCGCCTGAGTTGCTCAGTCGGTTAAGCGTCTGCCTTCGGCTCAAGTCATGATCCCAGGGACCTGGGATCGAGCCCCGCATCGGGCTCCCTGCTCAGCAAGAAGCCTGCTTCTCCCTCTCCCACTCCCCCTGCTTGTGTTCCCTCTCTCGCTGTGTCTCTCTGTCGAATGAATAAATAAAATCTTTAAAAAAAACAAAAAACACCATCACACTGGGTCATGCTCCCTTCATGCCCCACAAAATCCAACCGCAGTCCATCATTAGTGACTGGAAGTGACATAAAGAATGGGCTTTTGCCTTGTTTATCACATATCACACAATGTGACCGTGGGGCTGGCACATAGACAGGCCCCAGAGGTATTTGTTGTGTGATGAGTGGATCAACTTTGGTCTTAGAACTTTCAAAGACAGTACGAGAGATACACTGCTGTGTATTTACACGGTTGAGCATGTACACTTAGAACACGTGTGTCGTATGCTTACGCATGAATGTTACATAGACAGATATGCATGTTCGATTATACACATGCATATCCTGTGTATGTGAACATATGTGCATGCATGCATTCAGGGCTGTTAAAATGCTTCAGGCCACTGGATTCGTGATAGATTCAGTGCTGCTTTGGTTTGTCTGGGGGTTTACGAAGATTTAGCCAGGACCACGGGGGGAAATCTGAGGACAAGGAAGTTCATAGGGTTGACGGCACTGATGATGACAGGGAATCTGCTGGACAATGAATCGGGGCACGACTTCGAGGTGCAAAATGGGGTGCTACATGGCTGAGGGGGACGAGTGATCCCCCCTCCCCCCCGGGTGCCTGCAAAAGGGCACATGCGACCTTCTGCTGTCCTAACAACGTCTACAAACCAAGTCGTTGCCAAGGGCACTTCGGCACATCAATAAAACCACAGCAGAAAAACAGAATTAAATAAAATAATGGAAAATTAGTTATTAACAAAAGCACTCCTCATCATTATTTGTAATTATCCTGTGTGATTAACTCCTCCGATTTTGTATTAACTTCTTGGATGAGCTGTTGCCTACCTTACCTTTGTGCTCCTGAGAGCTCCTAAATTTCATTTTTTTTTCAGGAACAGTAACTTTATTTATCTTTTTTTAAGATTTTATTTATTTGACAGAGAGAGATAAAGCTAGAGAAGGAACACAAGCAGGGGGAGTGGGAGAGGGAGAAGCAGACTCTCTGCTGAGCAGGGAGCCCGACGTGGGGCTCGATCCCAGGACCCCCGGATCATGACCTGAGCCGAAAGCAGATGCTTAACCGACTGAGCCCCCCAGGCGCCCCTCAAGAACAGTAACTTTAATCGTAATGATGGCTGTGGATCTGACTGACAAAAATTTTACAAGACCAAAATGTAGAATCATAATTTCCTCACTCAGAATTTTCAGAAGTGCTCTGCTTGGATTTACTTTTTTTGTTAAAATGAAAACAAAATGCATGCTCTTTGTTCATCAGGTCTCAAGTTGATAGTGGTTATATTTCTTATTAGAACTTTTCCAAGCTGTACAAAGAAGACTGTGGACACAGAACCATCGAACCATCCAAGTACTTATCCATCGGCAGCTTCGTTAGAAAGCCATCATTAAGGAAGAGAAAGTGCGAATGACAGAAAGGAGGTCATGGTTTAATTGATGTAAGTTGCAGCCCCCTGATCTTATTTCCAAGGGAAAGGATTTTGTGTGTGCAATGAAGTGCTTCCTCTGCAGGAAAGAAAATTCCTCAGTGGTCTCCAGCATTTATTAAAACCCCAACTCTGCTGCTCAGCCCACATGACGTCTCATCAACACACCAGGATCTGAGGCCACCTCGATAGTGGGAGGAGCCTAGAGACCACTTCAAATGACAACACATTCCCCAGGTTTAGAGGATCTGGAGAATCCACTGGGTAATCGATTATTGGTTTTTAAATAGGGTAATCGATTATGGGTTTTTAAAAAACATCATCATCAGTGCCGTCAACCCTATGAACTT